TCTCTCTCTCTCTCTCTCTCTTCTCCTCTGTTGCACTGCTGCAAAAAGATCTCTTGGTCGCTCCGAGTGTTGTAGTCATTTTCCTTTCAGGCAGGATGCTAAGAGCTCAATAATCCTCCAATAATAAAACTTTATATGACAAAAATTTATGGATCCCACTTACAGCACTATGGCCAGTTTTAAATACATTTCATTCTATTGTTACATATTAAAATAAATGGGCAAGTCACACAATGGAAAAAAATGTGAATTTTAGAAGATAAAATATAAAGCTTCAAAGAAATTGTGTGCTTGCCATGGACCTGCTTTGAGATAGCATATCTAGTTCCTCCTAGAATTCTCACTTGTTGAGAGTAACTAGGTTGAAAAATGTGAGAAACACTCTGTGGGTATACATATCATTTTTATTCTACCAAATGTATTTGTACATCTCTAGAATGAATAAAAAACATTATTTCAAAAACTGACCTCATTTCTGTGTTCTAGGGGGAGGTAACAGAATTGCTTTTCAAAGGAAGATGCTTTGGTTTGGAATTTTTTGGCAGAACCTTTGGTTTGTAAAGTTAAATAAATCCCAGAGGCTGTCTTGAAGGGAAAGGTTGAAAGAGAGGAATAAAACTCCTCCCTCTAGGAGTGTAAATAGCTATTGTCATCCTGTGCTGGTTGGCAACTCTTGCAGATTATTGCAGGACTATGCAGCTTAGCTCGTGCTGGTTGATGCTAAGGGAAAAGGAATGTTTGGGCTCTAGACACAGGGGGAGAGGTTGGGCAAGAGCCAGATTCTTATTTGAACTGACACTGGTCCCAGCAACATAGCAGTTGGCTGAAGGCTATGGAGGAGACCATAAATAGAGGACTGAAACTAAAATGTTGTGAACTGGTGGAAGGAGAAGAATGAGTTGATATTCAAATTTAGGTTCTCCTTTTCTTCACGGAAAGTCTGCTATGTTTCTAAGCCTTTTGTTATGCTTTGGGGAATGGAGTTCTGTTCTTGGGGGCCATATGTTCCTGCAGAGTGTTGAGGACTATGTACAAGTCATAGATAAAAACACCAGACATGATGTTCCCTAAAGGAAACTTTGGAGACAGCAGCTTGGAATGAGACAGCAACCAATGACAGAAGAAAGTAAGCATTTTCTGGCTGTTGTTAGAATTTCTCAGTGCTCTGGATTTCCTGAGGCAGAGGAGTTTCTATGTGCTAGTGTGGGTACTATAGTTATTGAATATCACACAAAAGAGGGGAATCTGGGAATATATACATAATCTAGGTTATGTGTATATGGGGTTTTCAATGAAGATGTTTATCACTGAAAGGGTATGTGGAGTAAAAAACAAAAAAAAGGATACAGATGTTGCACTCTTGGGGGTGGTGTTGGGGAAGATTGTGGGATTCTGAAAAGAAGCCTTATAGATTCAACATCATAGAGAAAGCAGAAAGGAGAATAAAGAGCAGGCAATGAGAGGGTTTTGAGAGGGAACAAACCACTCTTCAACATTTGCTTATGCCTGGAGGCACCTTCTAAAAAAGACAAATCTGATTTCATCACGTATCTACCTGAAACACCTCAGTGGTTCCCCATGGCCTGGAAAGCAGAGTACAAAATTCTTAAGTTGCTTGGTGGAACTGGCTGAGTTGGCTGATATCCAATTGTCCACCTACTCTGCTCTTTGTACTTCCCACATCCGCAATTTTGTATATTCACACATTTACCTCTTAACCTTTAATTTATTTACATCTGAGTCTTCAAATAAAGCTTTTCATCCACCTGCATCACTCATCCATCTCCTCCATTTACATGTCAGAGGGGCTGCTCTCTCCTCAGGATAAAACTTCCTTAGCCCTCCAGATGGCATGACGTCTGCCCACCAAAGATCCTCTGTGGCACTCTGTGCCTCCTCCTTCATGCTGTGCAATCAGTATTTTCTGAGCCAGGCCCTGCCACAGAACAACAGTAGGGCAACAAGCAAAAGCCCTTGCACCCATGAGTTCTGAAGTGGGGGCCAGACTTTGCTTCTACTGTCTTGGGGTTTCTACCTTGGTCTCAGAATAAAATTGGCATAAGACAGACTGACTGGAAAAAAAGCATAGAGCTAAGATTTATTTAATGTAAGTTTTACAGGATATGGGAGATCTCATAAGAAAATGAAGACCCAAACAAATGGCAAAATTTAAATGCTTTTTTATACTGGATTGAACATAGAGGCCATTGCGGGAAAGTAGCTCAAATATGTGAGAAGGCTAATTGAAGATAAAAATTATTTTAATAAAGTCTGTTTAGGTGGAATTCTGTTGTTCCCAACTTCCTGTCCTTGATGATAGGAATGTTTCTTTTGGTATAGGGTATACAGTGCATGGGAATTTCCTCTCTTGTTTTTAAGAAAGAGAAGGTGGGATTGGAATGCCCTTCTTGAAACTGCTATAATTTCAGGTATCTTGAACTCAAAATAACCAATATGCCAGAGTGGCATACTTCGGGGTGGTGTATACTGAACTACTTCAGCTTAGACTCATCACACTGGAATTATTTGCTTACAGTTGGTATTATTAGTTGGACTCAGTGCCATGAGGGGGGCATAGGACCACTGTGTACTATTTTATATTCCAGGATCCAGTATTGAACTTGAAATACTGTAAGGTGCTAAGTGAATATTTGTCAAATGAGTGGGTGGTATAGATACAGGAGATTCACTGGTCTGGTTATAAGCACTGGAGGTCTTAAAATTCCATAGTTTAAGCATGCTCTATGATATAAGACTATCCATCAATCTTGGAAAGCTATAAAACTTGCTAAGAATTATGACTGATATTAAAAGCTGGCTTGACCTGTTAGGTGGACAAATTT